GCACCCTCCACATTTCCTTGCCTTGTTGCAGGAAGCTTGGGTGTGCCCCCATTGGCTGCAGTTGAAGCACTGCTTGACTTGTGCCCGGGGTGACCAGAGCTGGGCCGTGTAGAGCATTGAGTCCATTACAATACCATTTCGAATCACTTCGCGTTGTAGAGCCTCGGTCGGTAAGCTCGCAATGACTGACCCTCGAGTATGGCCATTTTCCTTCGCCCAGGTGTGTTCCTTCCCGTCATAGAGCCACCTCACTCTGTTGATCTGTATTCCTGGAATCCGTGCTTTTGTTTCCGTCGTCATTTTAAATATTGCCACGCTGTTGTTGGCATTCTTTCCTCCGTGTATAATTGTCCCCAGTGGGACTCCCAAGATTTCAACAGGGTAATCCTGCTTTAGGACGCAGAACTCTTTGGGCTGCGCCATCCTCAAGGCAGCGTCTCTCTGGGAGACCGACTGCACGAACACCTCAGTATCGTTGCTCCTTAATTGCCTCACGGCGTATGCTCCATTTATATGTAATTTTGCTTTATTAAGCAGCTCTGTCGGCTGCATCTTATTGGCCCCTTCTACTCGAATCCGTACTGCCGCTTTGGTTGCTGGCGGCGCGACGATCGAGGCGTACGTGGGTCGACCTCCCATTGCTTGTGCTGGTTGCGGTGCAGTCTTGCAGACCGGCTTTTCGAGACTCTCCTTTACGACCTTCTCTAAGGCCAACATTCGATCTTCCATTGGGTTAGCCGTCAGCTTTGATCGGAACATCTTGGCGTGGGCAACGAAGGCATCAAGTACCTCATCTATCTCGACCATTGGCGTCGCAGATTTATCAGTTCCTGCAATCGCCAGTCTATCTCGGACCCTGTTTAAATAATAAGCCACGGTTTTTAGTTTCTCCAATTTCATGCCAGTAGAAGTCGCGAGAGATTCTACAAGCATTATTGCGGCTGTTCCGCTATCCGTTGGTGGTGGTGGTGGTGCCGTGAAAATTTTTCCAGCCGTGAAATCCACCTTTCCTGTCCCCCAACTCGCCATGCCGAAGCGCAACGAAAAAAATTCGAGGAATCAAGTAAGAGTGATTGATTGAGATGAATGCAATAATTAAAACGATGATATAACGTTCGTGGAACGTGGTGCCGCTTTTGACCAAATGATGATGTATTTCTATTATTATTATTATTATTATTATTATTATTATTATTATTATTATTATTATTATTATTATTATTATTATTATTATTATTATTATTATTATTATTATTATTATTATTATTATTATTATTATTATTATTATTATTATTATTATTATTATTATTATTATTTGAATTTGATTTCATTTAGCCCGATTTGGCGCCTTATGGCCCATGCAGGTGTCTACGAACTCTAATATTTATATAGGAGGAAACCTTTATGGTAAAAACCCCCTCAACTTCTCAATTTATATACACTTTAAGTTTGTGTTACCTTCGCGAAGTGCACTAATACTGTTTTATCCAGTGTGGATACCGTCCACTCCCTTATTTATGGCAGGAGATCACCTCTCCCCTACTGCCCTCTCTGTCACTCATCATGGCTTCGACTTCAAGCGTCAGTCGAAACTGCTCTAGCCTTCCTTCCTGCTGGATCCATCTAGTTATCCTTGCTATATCTGTGGGATTGTTCATCATGGCCTCAAATGACCGGTTCTCTGCCTTTCTCAGTATTTCTCCTCTTCCTTTGGCCCAGCTGGTGCAGGCCATGACCATATGCTTCACATTTTGGGACGGATATCCACATTGGCATCGTGAACTGTCTACTCCCGGAACTTTTCTTCTGTGCAGATAGGAATTGAACCCAATGTGTTCGCTTCTTATCTGTATAGCTATGCTGCTCTGGGCCCTGTTAAGGTGTTTATGGATACTAGAAGGTGTTCCTCTTTGGCTCATTCTTGTCTTTCCCGTCTTTTCATCTGTAAAAAGGTTTACTGCTTATTATTATTATTATTATTATTATTATTATTATTATTATTATTATTATTATTATTATTATTATTATTATTATTATTATTATTATTATTATTATTATTATTATTATTATTATTATTATTATTATTATTATTATTATTATTATTATTATTATTATTATTATTATTATTATTATTATTATTATTATTATTATTATTATTATTATTATTATTATTATTATTATTATTATTATTAGTATCTGCGTGGCGCAAAGTCAAGCAGACTACAAGGGGAACAGAGAACAGGCACGCCAAGAATTGAAAGCAAGACATTGAAGAATGGACTAGAATTTGTGGCCTGGAGAATGAGAAAGGGAGACAAAAAGAAGACGGTAAGGTGGCCGCGTTCCAGGAGTGGAAAAACTCATAGACACGTCCAGCAAACGAGATACCATCTGGTCATCGAGCTTCGGCAGACCCCGAACATTGGAAAGCCGCAAATATTATTACAGATGAGACAACAGGCAGAAAAAGGATTACATACAGAAACACACCCTCAAACACCCACCGAAACCTAAGTAGGGCCCAAAGCAGTATTGCATTTCAGATAAGAAGTGAGCACATTGGTCTTAATTCTTATCTGTATCGAAGGAAAGTTCCCGGAGTGATTGATCCAAAATGTCAGTGTGGATATCCGTCTCAAAATTTCAAACATATGGTCTTGGTGTGTCCTCAATGGGCCATGGGAAGAGGAGAGGTGCTTCAAAAGGCAAAAGACAGGTCATTTGTGGCAATGATGAACAGCCCAGATGACATAGAGAGAATAACAAAATGGATCCTGGCAAAAGGCTGGTTTGAACAATTCCGGCTTGCAGGAGAAGTAGAAATAGCATTGGACGAAAGGATGAGACGATGTGGACAAGGATAAGACGGATTTCACACTGTATAACCAGTGTAATCGCACTTCCTGTAGGAAACCTCAGAAACAAAATAGACACGATACAGACAGTTGTGAGGGGTTTTTACCGAATATGGTTTCCTCCTGTGTAAATATTATAGCTAGTTATACCTGCATGGGCCCATAGGGTACCTGAACGAGCTAAATGAAATCAAATCAAAAAATTATTATTATTAATTCATTTTATTGTCCTGTTTGAGTCTATGACTATGTAGGACATGCAGGTCCTCTCTACCCATAGGCCAAGTTTACCTATACCAGGAGTAAATCCCCCCCTATGCCTCCCATACAGCTCCCCTCAAAGAGTACGGCCCCTTACAAGTCTTCATTCGATCATACACTTAGAGGAGCCCTTTGCCCTTCATTATCTACCCTCTCCAGCCAACGAAACGATGGCCATTAGCGGGTGTATGGCAGCCGGGAAAAATCGCAAAAAACTACTGGGTGCGAGGCTCTTCTAATACCGACATTAGGAATAAATCCGAAGACATATTGCCCCTTCTGAAGCGTTCGAAGAGGCCGGCCAGCTGGGCGCTGCAGACCTGTGGGTACCTCGGAGAATTCACTCTCTGCCTTTCTAGCCTCCTTCCAACTCCTTCCCGAAGGTCGTGCTGAAATGTCAGAAAAGTCTTGACAGAGCGTGATTGCTGTATAGTAGCTTAGCCCAACTTCTTTTGTGCCGTCCAAGGCGCTGGGGAGTGCCGTTGACTCATCGACAACAGAAGGCCTCCTAGCTAATTAGCCGAAATCTTAGTCTTGGCGCCCACAAAAAATCCAAAGTTGAAAACTCCTCGAAATTATCAGTCCCAGCATGCTCTTCAGAGACCTGTTCTCCCTCTCGCTCCACATCTCAGGCGCTTGTACTTCCTCAAGCTGTTTGTCCCATTAGAGCAACAGTCCCCCATAAGCCAAGACCCAGACTTTGTATTTGTCGACTTGATTTCCTCCTTGCGGGTATAAATAGCGTCGTAAATATGTAGTGAGAGATGGCTGGAGATTAATGGGGCAAGCTCCTGTACGCAATTGGAGCAACTTCTTTGTTGGTTGTTGAGGCGAGATGATGCGTGGTTAGAGATGGGTTGAGTACTCAGATGATAATGATGAGAGAGGCATTGCCGAGAAGTTGTCAAATGAAGATGTGTTCGAGGTTGCTTTCGACTTCGATTCGGATGCGATTCTTCTTGACTATCCCAGATAAGCAGAGCAAACTGAGCTATTACACCGGCACCACCGGAAGGTGAAGAATTCGTCTTCGCCGGCCAAGTTCAAACTAGCTGGGAAGAGATCCCTGATAAAAGTTCCTATCGTCTTCCAGCAGGCCTTGAGAAGTCGGACGGTAATCTTGTCGAAACCCGGGGCGGTTTCATTACTCCCAATAGTTGCTGCTGTGACATCTTACAGTGAAGCCTCTCCGGTCCATGGGATAAGCTCTAGTTCACCATTCTCCCATGCATCAACATCGATTATCGCGTCATACCCTGCAAGGGTCGGCGGACAGAGAAGTGATGGAAAAGAACTAGAGAAGAGCTTGGATTTGCATAAAACTGAGGGTGACAAGAAATCAAATTGTGCCCTTAGTCTAGGCCTTGAAATCTAGGACAAGAATTATGTACATTGTCTTATTATGCGCTAACAGGGGTCTAGCCCCTGAAGCGAACATACGGCCCATTTAAATCCACTGATAACTTGAAATTGTATCCACAGGGTATGCGTCTGCATAATAGAGTATCTCCACCGTTAAACATGGGTTATCCCAGCTTGATCTTCAACATAGGAGAGAAATCCCGAGATGCAATTGTGGCCTGCATTTTCCTGATAGCAATTTTCGCGGACTTCAACTTTTATCTGACGCAGGGATTTAGCAGCATTTTAAAATGTTAGAGCTTTAAAAATACACCTACAGACTAACTTTGGTGATTGGGACTACAAACAAATTTTTGGAATTTATGAAACAATAAAGACAAACGCGAAGTGAATAACCGACGAAATAGCGTCAGCTGCGGCGCAGGGACCTTTTACATGTCATCGAGTTCATCCTGGTACAAGCAACTACAACCTATTCTCCTTTGAAAAGCGCATTTACCTCACAATTTCTCGTTAACAGCCATGCCTCTCTCATACTGGACCATCGGCTCTCTATATGGCGCGAGTTCCGTTGCCCTAGGTGCATTTGGTGCTCATGGCCTCAAGAAGCGCATATCTGACCCGACCAAGCTTGCCAGCTGGAGCACTGCGGCACAGTACCAAGTACTGATTCCCTTGCATCCTTATCAATACCTTCTACATCCCCCCAATCGAGATCTAAGCTAACTCGCTTCTTTCTCAGCTCATCCACTCGGCCGTTCTCCTTCTTTCCCACAGTGTGGCACCCCGAAACACCCTAGCCGCCGGCCTATTCACCGCCGGTATGACCATGTTCAGTGGCAGTATTTACCTCCTCATTCTCGATCCACATCGATTCAAGTTCCTCGGTCCCATTACGCCCATCGGTGGCCTATGTCTTATTGGTGGCTGGTTAGCATTGGCTTTCGGAAAGAAGATTCCTTTTCCTCGATGAAAAATGGGTTGGATTGATTGTGACGGCCTCAAACGTGAAAGTATATGGATAGAAGAGGCAAAAAGTTAGAAGCATCAAAGCTACAATTCTTTCCAAGGGCCTTAGTTCTGAGTGATCGTGAGCGATAAACTTGATTACGGCTCGATTCAGGCTATCAATCACGTCGTGCAACGCCTAGTCATCTCCCTAAATCTAGTATAGCGAGAAATTCATCACCAAAAATTTCAAATAACCTAAATCCAGATTTCTCATGCTAAACCACCGAATGGTTATAGAAATTCCTTGAGCCAGAGCGCCAATAATTTAAAGCCTTGTCTTTGCATCGAAGTGCTATGATCTTTCAGTCAAAAAACTGACAGCTGGTGAAACAAACTTTTAGAATTCTTTTAATTTCTCATGCCCTATGAATCCAAAATTCACCTCATTTCAGCGCTTCGTCTTCTTACTTCACTCCGTACGCTTAACAATCCGTATATTACTCTAGTGATACTGCGGTTCATTGACGCTTTCATAGCAGAGACTTGGGTAAGTTTCAGGGTTGTTTTCTTCCTTGATAACCGTAATCTTGAGCAATGCCATTAACTATCCAATCTTGTGATCATACAAGCATCAGAGGTGGAGTCGCGCTTTCAATGAGACGAATGGGAAGTGAAAATCAGTCTGAAGGATGAGATAAAAGTACTAGGACGGCTTACGGTCTCGAACGGGTGCGCGCAGCTATTAATTTAAATACGAGTGCCGGGCCACCGTCGGCAGACTAAAACGAGCCCCCGAGAACTCCCTATCTACTGAGGCTATTACAAATAGTTTCTAATACAACATCTATTCCGATCTGCGCTCAAAGTTACTGATGAGCCCTGCTAATTAGAGCAGTTTGGGCTATTGGGATCACGCAGAAGCTGATGATCCGCCCGGTTGAATTAAAACACCGAAAATTTTGACGAACAATTTGGAATCCTGACCCAGTGTGGCGGAATCTGCTGGCATTAGGATTGGTCACTACGACCTCTCTGTGGTCGAGATTGAGCTGTGACAGGGCAGCGCTCCCGGAAATACGAATGGTGCGCGTAATAATGTATCAAAGGGGAGGGCAAGATTGAACACCTGTACGCGGTGTCCTCTACGAATCTGGGACTGAACAGCGCCCTGGACGGCACAAAAGAAGTTGGACTAAGCTACTATACAGCAATCACGCTCTGTCAAGACTTTTCTGACATTTCAGCACGACCTTCGGGAAGGAGTTGGAAGGAGGCTAGAAAGGCAGAGAGTGAATTCTCCGAGGTACCCACAGGTCTGCAGCGCCCAGCTGGCCGGCCTCTTCGAACGCTTCAGAAGGGGCAATATGTCTTCGGATTTATTCCTAATGTCGGTATTAGAAGAGCCCCGCACCCAGTGGTTTTTTGCGATTTTTCCCGGCTGCCATACACCCGCTAATGGCCATCGTTTCGTTGGCTGGAGAGGGTAGATAATGAAGGGCAAAGGGCTCCTCTAAGTGTATGATCGAATGAAGACTTGTAAGGGGCGGTACTCTTTGAGGGGAGCTATATGGGAGGCATGGGAGGGGATATACTACTGGCATAGGTATCCTTGGCCTGTAGGCAGAGAGGACCTGCATGTCCTACATAGTCATAGACTCAGACAGGACAATAAAATGAATTAATAACCTGGGAGTGAAATATTCTCCCAGAGCCAAGTTCAGTCAAATTTCGCAATATCAAAGAAGTTGGCCCACGAAGCAAAAATCCAAATTAGTCCTCCATGTCATTATTTCGCTCCCAACGAGTCTGACTCCTATCTTCGTCTCATCAAGTCTACAAGTACGACCAAGTACATCCTCATCCCGATGACCACACCACTCTTCGACCTTCTCTGGCCTCAGTTGACCGCCAAATACACGCCGACGCCGATATTTATACCCGACGGAGGAAGCAAAGCGTGGCGCACAAATCTGGGAGACAGTTATTTGGGATGGACGTGAGAGGAATCAGGATAAGTCGACATGATGATGCGAAGGAAGGATATAACCTCGACGGACGTGAAATTCTGAATTTTGGCAAGGAGTTTTACGAATTGGGCTTTGTGCGCGCCAAGACTTCGCTTGCGAGAGTGCAGTTTACACTATAAACACAAGCCGACGATGGAAGGTGTTATGGTCCGCCTCCTAGTGGTGTTCTCTGGTATGGTTTGAGTAGCCTGGGCACCTACTCCACTTGGGAAGGAGACATCTCAGATCACATTTCGCGCGGAGAAAAGTTAATGGATGACGGAAGCATGTCTAGATAACTCAGGGTTTTCAGACGTTACCCTGGGTGGGTATTCACGGATGAGGGTTGACTTGGGGTGAAGAAAAAGCCGCCATAACTTCGCGGTGGTACTTGCAAATGAAATCTGAGGCATGAGTGCTCTTCTTGTAAATTGTGTCATCTATCATACAATTCTCTGATATTGTGTCATAGCTAGATAGCTGCATACGCAATTAAAATCTGATGCAAAAAAAAAACCCCCCAGACCACCTCAGACTTCACTCATTTATTGAATCATGTCAAGCCCAACCGTCCAGAGAACCCCCTTTTGGCGCGCCGAAGCGCAAATTCCTCCTTAGCCTCGGCCACCACGCGCCCTAGCCCTTGACACCTTCGCCATCTATAACTTTTTCCTCCATTCAGCCCCAGCTTTGGCTAATCTGAGCATCTCCTCATCTTATGCAGGGTCGATTTCTTCATTGGAGGCCTCATCCAGTCGCCCATCAAGGCCTCCTCAGTTTGCATCCCCTTTTAGTTCCTTCATACCGCATCCCTCTGTCCTTCAGCCGATCTTGTCATCCCAGAAACTCTGTAGAATGTCCACTCCTCCTGCCTTTGTCGAACGCTCTAGTTGGTGTGCCAGCGAAATGTCGTACGTATTTCGTCGGTGGCGATTCGTCGCAGATCGAGTTGTTGGCGCCCTTGGCCGAGGTGAGGACGCATTTAAGGCCGGTATTTCGACGACGCCTTCACAGCGGCTGGTAGTAACGGAGGGTAGGACATCCTCTTGCTTCTTAGTTGGCGATTTGGCTTTTGGAGGTATGGGATTGATTAGGTAGGTGGTGAGATGATTTTTGAGAGAGAATAAGTTAAGATCTTGATGGTGTCGGTTCTTATGATACGAACATCAGATAGTTTGTTGCCTGTCTGCGGTTCGTATCTGGGGTGTAGATGGTTGATTTCGTTGAGTTGTGCAGTCGTGAATTCTCTGCAGGTCGGATATTCGACCAAAAATGTGCCAACACCACTCCTCCCGATCGCCAACTCGACGAAAACTCTCAAATTCACCCTTTGTCATGACTGAATCTCGGCTCTAGGAGAATATTTCACTCCCATGTTCGTATAAGACACCACTGATAGATTTTGAGCCGTCATCCTCCTGGCGGACAGCTGTTTGTTTTTTTTTTTTTTTATAAATATTAGGTCCTGAGCTTTGCTCTATATCTCCTAGGAGTCAAGGACCGGTGTACACGGCCAAGATCATGCTTCCCACATGCCCGACTCGGTCTCACTGCGTGACCCACTACACAACCAATAGCTAGTTATAAGAAAGAATATAAATGCTCCCACAGACTCCCATAACCAAAATTCCAAATCCAATACTCCAATTTGAGGTAGGAAAGCGACACTCCTCGTCTCGTTTTCCTTCCTGTCATGCTTCGTGCTATGACCTAGTTAATGTTGTCTCCGCTGAGAGCTGGTGACGGACTTGCAGGTGAGTCGCCGAAGCAGCCGGTTTCCTGCGCAAAATTTGTAAAATCCTCAAGGCACTTAAGCCCGAGGAGCTTTTGGACAAAGTCGTGATGAGAAATTGTCCCTCGGAGTCGACGCGTCTGACGTTCGTGCAGTCGACAGTGAATGAAGTGGAGAGGTGATGTCTCCTCTCCACACGCACACTCCATGGAAGCGGTGAAGTTGTTGAAACGACGGTGACATGCAGCGAAGTTTCCGTGTCCCGTTCGGGATGAGATCAGTTCACGGAGTTACCGCCGAGAAAGTGCCTGCTCCTGTGGCTTGCGTCGTCGCATGAGAAGACCCAGATTACGATACCTAGGTGGACATGCTTCCTCCCACCATTCCTCGAGAAGAGCTTGACGTTTCTGGTTCATCAGACGACGAACGTACGCCAAAGTGACGGAGCCAGGCTGGCTCTCTTCACTTGGCAGTTGTCGGAGGCCGGAGCGTGCAACTCTATCAGCCTCTTCGTTTCCCTATATCCCAGAGTGGGCTGGTATCCATTGAACCGAGACTCGAGCCTTTTCTGATAGCGCTCTAAATTGGCGTACATTGTCGAGACTTGTTGTGGCGGTTTCCGTCAGCAGTGCCTTCACTGCAGACTGACTATCCGTCAAGACGTTGATCCACTGCCTGCCGTTACTTCTCCCGTTCTCTCTCTCCAACAATCCTAGCGCAGCTTCCAGGGCCTTCCTCGCCCCTAGTATTTCCGCATCGAGCACTTCACCACCATGCTTGATACCACATCCCTTTAACAGAGTTTTTCCATCCCTCTTCAAGACGAACCCCCATGCTGAGCGACGATGCCCCTCCAACGATCCATCCGGGTAGGCACAGATATCCGATGGCAATACACCTCTAAGGAACCGAGTTACCTTGTCCTCCTCTTCTGTCCTTGGACCGAAGTTCGATAGATAGCATGGTGGCGGCAGAGGCTCGGCGTCTTCCGCGTCCGGGAGTTGACGGTAGGCCCGCTGTACTCGTGACATCTGGATCCCCGGATTCTTGGGTACCCGAGCAGACTTCTTGTACTTCCGTGTTCCAACGTTTGGACACACGGCGGCACGAGTCCGGAGCGGGTGGCGGTTATCCAGTGAGTGGAGCCGAGCCGAAAGCTGTAGTCGGTTCCCTTCCAGAATGATCTTCCCTGTTGGAATACCTCCTTCTCGGTGGAGAACAAGATTCGGTGTAGTTCTCATTACCGGGAGGGCAGCGCGCAGTCCCGTCAAGATTGCCTTGTCA